TTTTTGTCATGTCACTTTATTCAATTATTTGTGATGATCTGCAGGTGTCCCTATACTTTTGTCCAGGTAGTGTACATGTCCCCCAATTATTTAATTGGTCCTGTAATCATTCGTAGTACAAATGTTCACTTTTGGTTTTAATTCTTCTATTCAAAAAAAATGACTAAAAGACTAAAAATACATAAATCAAATGATGAATTTTTATCCATTCTTCGTGAACCCAAACCTAATTTGGCGCCACGCTCTATAAAATCAGTAGAAGATGCGATTGATAGAACCCCAGAATATACAGCCTTCATAAAAAGTCTTGAAGAGTTCCATAAAGATCACGGGTAAATAAAAATAAATAAATCTTCCTTTTTTTTTTGCAAGAACCATGTAGGCTTATATATATGAATGTGTGTGTATATTATTCTCTACAATAAATAGAACTACTTTTCAAAAAGAACCTGTTTTAGGATCAAAGAAATTAGATCTGTATAAAATTTATCAAATGGTGATTGCTGAGGGGGGTTGTGAAAGAATATGCGCAGAGAAATCATGGAAAAAAATATGCGAACCTTTTAATTTTCCACAAACTTGCACAAATAGTGCTTTTGTGATGAAAAATATTTATATAAGATTCTTGGAACCATATGAATTAGAACATTTTTGGGGTAAAAAAGTTCCTTATGGTGGAATTCCTGGAAAACAAATATCTTCGCCACAGATATCACAACAACATCAACAACAACAACATTATCACCTTAATGATACCCCACATTTTGCGCCACAAACAGCTCCTGTTCCATCAAATCGAGCTTTAAAGATTGTACCATATGAAATTCCAAGAAATGAATGTAAGATAATTGACAACACCATTTTGTATATTTTATTTTTATTTTTATTTTTGTGAATGTAAATACTCAATACTAATAACATTAATAATTTTAATAAGACTATATTAATCCAACACAAAGAATGCTTTACAGCCTACCAATAGGTTTTAATATGGGAATGAGAGATGATTCAGATGATGAAAAAGGCAAATCATATTTATTATTATTATTATTATTTTATAATTACGCTTTATTATTTTTCAACCTAATAATTAATTTGATTATCTATTTAATTATTTATGAATTACAGATTCAATTTTGAGTGGAGGTCATTTAAATAGGATACTTCTTGCTTTGAAATCACAACTAGCTAATGAAATAGATTGGGCATTAGATACTTTACTAAAAGTATCTATAGACCAAATGATCAAATTCAAATTAGACAAAATCCCAGAACTTTTAGATATATTTCTTACACATTTAAGCAATTTTTACACACAAGTAACAGATTTGTATGAGGCAAATCAACATTCAACAGAATCAACGGTTGATGACTATTTTAATGATTTGAATAATTATTTACATTTACAAAGAGCAACTCAGATATTTTTAATTTTAAGGAATTTGTCTTTTTATAATTATAATGCTGAACTGATGTCTTTCAACAAATTGGTACAAAAATTTGTGATGGAGGCACTCACGCTACCAGCATTTTTAAAATTTCCTCAAATTAGAATTTATTGTATAGAGATTATTAAAAGCATGAGTCATATTATTAAATTAAATAGTAGTGAGGATGAGCTTTTGGTAGTTTTACGAAGACTTATCTTTTCGGATGATATTGCATTGGTCATACACAGTATCACAGCAATGTCGTGTTTGGCTGGAAATGAACAAAACTCTGAATTTATTAAAGATGTTGATTCTCGTGCTGTGCAACATTTAGTAAATCTGCTTTTGATAGATGATGACGAAGAGTTGAGTAAGGCCGTTTTAGAGTTGTTGTATTATTTGTCTACTTCTGAGGAAACAGCATCTCGTATGGTAGAGTATGCCCCAGGAAACCTTGTACGTCTTTTGATCGGTTATTTAAGGCATGGTTCAAGTGTGGAATCTCAAATTCATGAAAGGATACCCCCAATTGAAAGAAGGCCACCCCAATTACATGGTGATTTTGAAAGTCTTATAGAACCGTATAGATCTTTAGAATGGTATATAATTGAATTTGTATGATTTGTCGGTTTGGTATTTTAATATACAATTAACAATTTTTAATATTCATAATGATAATAATAGGCTCAGAACTGCATATGAAGAATCACCATTTGATGGAGTTTTACAAACAGATATATGGTTTGCTTATCGTGATCAATTCCAAAATTCTCAATGTCCTATGATGCCAGCAGCAGAAGTTATTAAACTTGTTAATCGTGTATTTCCAGATTCTTCTGCGATCATGGTTACAGCATCGGATGGATCATACAAATATATGATTCAAGGTATTAGACCAATACTATCAAAAGATGAAATTCAACAAGACAATCCATTGTACAATTGTAAATGGGCTGATTGTCAAGAAGCATCTTTCGAAGATGAAAGTAAATTGATGGAACATTTAGTTATTGAACATTTATCAGAAAGGAAACAGTATACATGTAATTGGTTGAATTGTAACAGATTTTCATCTGGCACAGAAAATATCACAACCGTCATAGCTCACTTGAAAACTCATTTCCCTATTCAACCAGAAGATGAAGATAGTAAAAAACACAAGAGAAGACCAGATATTGTAAATAAATATGGTAGAAATAATGGAATTTACACTTATAAAACTTATGTTAAATCAGACAATATCGGGGATGCTATTGGAATTCCATTATTAGCCTCGTTAGTTTTAAGAAATTTATCTTTATCATCAGCAAACCTTCAACATTTTGTTGCGTATGAAAAAGATTTAGCAGAAATGCTTACAAGTTGTGTTGCATTATCAAAGAACTTAGCTGAAACTTTGAGTAACATGCGAGCAATTTAATTAATTTTTTTTAAAAAATATAGAGATTAATCATACTTTCTTACACAATATAACATAATATAACATTAGATATATAAAGTTTAATAAATAAAACCTAATTAATACAAATATAATATTGATGAAAAAAATTTTCTTACCTCAAAAACGCACTATTATAATCAATTAATCTTTACCTGAAATAGTATTGTCGTCATATTCATCGTGAATCAAAACGTAATCTCTACTACTAAATCCAAATTTCAATACATCAGAAGGTGCGAGCAATTTAATTAATTTTTTTTAAAAAATATAGAGATTAATCATACTTTCTTACACAATATAACATAATATAACATTAGATATATAAAGTTTAATAAATAAAACCTAATTAATACAAATATAATATTGATGAAAAAAATTTTCTTACCTCAAAAACGCACTATTATAATCAATTAATCTTTACCTGAAATAGTATTGTCGTCATATTCATCGTGAATCAAAACGTAATCTCTACTACTAAATCCAAATTTCAATACATCAGAAGGAAACAATTCGACATATCTTGAAGGTGGAATAGGTTTTTTATTAACAAAAGTTGAATTTGTTGATTCAAGATCAATTATATAAGGTTTTATTTCATATTTGGATTCTCCTGTTGTTTTATCTTTTACTAGTACTTCACGAAATTGTAATGCTGCGTGTTGACTAGAACATGAAGGGTGATCAATTGGAATGTCAGCAACCTAACATTATAACAAACAATTAAATCTAATGGGAGGAAGGAAGTCAACACCATATAAAAAACATTGAATATAATGTCAATAATACCTACCTTTCTTTCACGGCCTAATAAATATGCACTTTGTCGATGTATATGAAGAACATCTATTAAATACACTTCAGATGAATCACATTGTGTGTATATATATCTAGTTATGTACATATAAAAAAGTTTCAATACCTATTTGTTGATCCCCTTTAAAAACATAAAGTCTCCATTTTTTTGTTGGCAATTTTGCTTCTGGTGGTTCATAATATTTTAATACGACACCATTAAATGAATTTGTTTCCGCTGCAAGTTTCCCTGATAATTCAAAATTAGGTTTTGCTACTACTGTTGGTGCTGTGTCTTCTTCATTCCGTTTTTTATTTTTAGAGGTAGAATCCATAATAATAATGATTATGTTGTTGATCAATTTAAAATAAATACATATGCTTTATGCAGATCACGACGATGTTTGATATATTTTTTTTTTTTGAAATAATAATATAAAATGGCAAATGCTAATAATGCCTCTTTAACGATCATGACAGGTGACGAGGAGTTGGATAGACAAACTGAATTATTACTTATAAAAGTTCAAAAGACAATTGATGATCTTGATAGTAGCTTTGAAGAAATAGAAGGTTTAGTAAAAACATTACACGAACAACCATTAAGTCAACTAGCTTCAGCTATGGAACCAATTCAACGTGCAAGGTTATACACATTATATGGATATACAATAAATACATTAACTAACAGTAAGTTATATATACATATATACATATACCTATATATGGTCTAGGCATAAAATAATTTTCATTGATTTTGTTATTGATTAAATTTATTTGATTTATTAGTTTATTTAGAACTTCAAAACCAAAATCCAAACGCAAAGACAAAGCTTATAGAAGAACAATTGGTGATTGATATCAAAAATTTTTTTTTTTGATTTTATTATTTATTAAAAAAAAACCATTTTTACTTAAAAATAACAACAACAATAATAATAATAATTCAAAAGGCACGGATAGAAGATGCTTCTGTAAAAATTACAAACACAGTTGATCCACCAAAACCAATATTGACTATTGATCGTGTAGCAGCTTCAAGGTTTATAAAAAATGCCGTTTCAAAGCAAAATAAAAAAGACGAAAGAAAAAAAAGATGTACGTAAACTTGTATTTATATCATAAATACATACTCACATTAATAAACTAATTTTTTATGTATGGGCTTTTTTACAAACAGGATTCCCTAGATGATTTAAATAAACAAGTAATTTATTTTCAGCATAATTATCATTTATCATTTCTCAATAATAATAAATTGCTTGATTATAGAAGAAGATAAAGAAACAAATAATTATTCTTGATTAAAAAAATTTATAACCCTAATTAATAATCATTATTATATTAAAGCTAAGATTGATTATTATTATAATTATTTTAGGTTCAAATAAGATCTTGTAGCAAATTTTCTCAAATAAATATTGATTGATTGGCCATGTCGGTCGGTATGGGTATAGCGTGATAGGAGACAATGACAATTTATAAATAAGCAAAAAGGAATTTATTCATTTATTATTTTGATTTTCGATTTAGATTCCAAAGTATTAGTATTAGTATTAGTGTGATTGGTATTAGTGTTAGTATTAGCATCAGGTATTAGATTTCGAATTATATTCACCCAAAAAAATTTTTTTTCCCACCCCTCTCCGTAAGATTCTGTTGCCCAACTATTGAGGTCGAACGCTTATTACTCATCATATGATGGCATTTATTATTCCATATGGCAGTCATCGTCATCGTCATCGTCATCACCACCATTCATGATCATCACCATTCATGATCATCATCGTCATCGTCATCATCATCATCATCATCACCATCATCATCACATCATCATCACCATAGCTCTTTTGCTCCCTTTGTCAGGAAGGCAGAAAACCAATGGTACATATGACAATGGGACCGAATGAAGGTTTTGATGATGAAGCGAACTAACTAATTTTAGTATAGTAATAGTAACAAAGTAAAAAAAACTGATCAAAATTAGTAGTAATAAAGTGGTAGTTATAATTCTTTGGTATAGTTCTTTTGAACGTGGCTATTTGATTGGTTGTACTATGTATATAATAATATCACTCACCTCCTGATGAGCCAACCACTCGTGTAATTAATTAATTTTTTTTTTAAACAATACTGATGTTCGTGTAACTTCCAACACATTTGCCAAAAAAAAAGCTTGTAAAACCTTTTGTTCTCCCAACATATATATTTTTTTCAAATAAATACTTCAAAAAAATGCCGGTGTGTACATCTTGCCATCAAACCAAACAGGATGGAGCTTTTTTTCACAAAAATAAAAAATGGAAAACTTGTCAGCACTGTATCGAGCAACGAGCTCTCAAGAAACAAAATTTAAAAAGAAAACGTGAAGAAGAAGGAACTGCTAATGTACGAGCCCCTCTTAAGGCTTTAGGTTTTATGGAGTTATCATCTCACGTTGCTGCTGAAATCAAGACATTTCTTGCAAATTCTACTTCTGATCCTGGTGGAAATCCTCCATGTGCAGCTTTAAATTTACGAATTGCTTTAAACATTTCTAATGAAATTACTGGTAACGAGAAACCTAAAGATATTGCACGTTTGATAGTTGAAGAAGTAGAAAGAGCTGATGAATATAATTGGACGTAAGTGCAATCATCACTTATAGATTATTCGTAACATTATATTCATTTTCAAAACTTTTTTTTTTTTCAATATTTAAACAATAAATGAAAATTTTATTTAATCAATTAGTTATAACTGTATGAATACTTCAATGCGTCATAAAGATGTTGCCAAATTTTATTATGTCTGTAGTCAGTCTATTGTATCAATGAAAGAGCACAAAGAAGGATCGAATAGAAAACGAATGGAACGCTTTCCTTGTCAAGGAAAAATGCAAATGAAAATTGATTTGCCTGCTGGCGAAGCAATGTTAGAAATCAGCCATGCCTTACTTCATGGCAAACCTGCGATCAACTCAGAGATCGGTGAAGAATGTAGAAAAGAAATCGAAGAAAATGTTCTTTTGGATCCTATTCAACTTCGTCAATTACTGAGAGTAAAAGGCTTGATGAAAAATTATACATCAAGACAGATCCATACCTACTGGGAGGGGGTTGCTTCGTTAAAAGTACCTAGTCTTGTTACTCGATATTCCGTCGTTTCACCTGAACAATTTAGCCCACAAGGATTCAGCCAATCCTTAACCACTACTGATAATACTAATATTATCAACGCTGCCGCCACAGGTACAAACAACACAATCAATTCTAATCTCACAGTACCAATTATTCATAATAATTATATTGTTCCATCAATCCCTACATACCAACCTTTTGCTCAATTATCTTTAGTAAACAATCCAACACTACCATCTGAAACTTTAGATAGTAAAGAAAAAACTGATCAAGGGTTAAATCGTGAACAACATACTGAATATGTTAATAAGCTAGAGAAATTTACAAAAAGAGTCAGAAATCAATTAGATCAAGGAAATTACGTTTGGTTGGATACTGTCAGAATAATGACAGCGGGTATTATTCAAATGGAAAATGATATAGAAGAATTGGTGAGACAAAGAGACAACAACGATAGAGTTAGAAAGCCGTGGACGTTACATTATAAATGAATGTCCTCTGAGAGTTTTTGATTACCGTCGTTCATTACATCTTTAAAAAATTATTATTATGAACAGGAGAATTTATTTATATATATAATAATCAGGTGAGAACAATGATGTAATGTGTAGAATATGCAAAATATGTATGTGTAATTTTTATTTATCCTAATAAAGAATCAATAATTTTTCAGTTTTGTTTGTTCGATTACATAATATTAAGTTTTAATATTTAATTATAATCAGGATTTGCTGTTTCACGAAATTAATCGCGTTGTATGTAATTTCGGTAGCTCTCCCCCCCCAGAAATCAAAAAAATTTTTTGTGATACAACCTATTTAACTGTTGTTTTTTATTAACAGTCGAATTTTAAAAAGGTTTATTTATTATCAGAACAAACAACTTACGTGAAGAGAAAATTTTTTTTAAAAAAAAATTAAAATTAAAATGCTCGCAACAACCCTCACTTCGTTCAAAGTTGTGGAAAAAATAGACGATCTACTCACTGACATTCTTATAGATCAACTATTCTTATGGTTTAACACATTTAAACTGAATCCTAATTATGAAATGGTCGACGTTTCATCTGAGGTCATTCTTGGCATCATCAGAAAAAATGTACTTGAAAAGGTCAAATTAGACCAGGCGTGCGAAGAATTATTAAGGTTAATAGAATTACTTTGATCATACACGAAAAAATGTCATCTAGTACATATAACACCATCGCCAAAAATACTCTCATATAATATATACATTTCAGTTAACAAAAGTTCAAATACTCGTGTATATTCTATAATTGTGGTTAAATAATTTTTTTTCGTTGCGCAAATCCACACATGCATTAGTTAATTGTGAATTTTATATTTAACTTGAACACACTATAGAATCCCTGCTATTAGAAATGTGGTACAATCAACTTTAGACGAGCTCACTTTCTTCAAGTAATCTAATTTCATAACACGATCGTTATTTCCAGTCAAGTCAACTTCTAAATAAGCATAACATAATACATATATTGATTGTTTCTTTTATTTCAATAATAGCCACGCAAAAAGATATTTACAAATGTATCAGGCAAATGCTGGATATGAAATCACTGAAACAAAAAGGTATCTTGGATCTTCTAAAAGGGAAGCGTGCATAGTTGCAACAAAAGATTTCAATGAAGGGGATGAGCTTCGCTTGTGTATCGGTGCATTAGTTCCTCTCACATCACATGAAGAAAATAAATTAGAAGGCGGAAGGGATTTTAGTATAATGTGGTCCCAGAGAAAAGATGTAATGTGCTTGTTATTAGGTCCAGCACGATTCATGAATGTAAGCTATATATATATACGTATTATATTTGTGTATTAATCACGTGATTTGTTTAATAATAACCCTTATTGTTGGCAATTAATTAATAAATAAAATAGCACGATTGTAAGCCAAACACTACATTTATTGCAGCTGGACAAAATGTGATCTCATTTAAATTCACCAGAAGTGTTAAAATTGGCGAAGAATTGACTTCATACTATGGTGATGACTATTTTGGTGAAGGAAATTGTGAATGTCTTTGTGCTACATGCGAACGTCTTAAAAAAGGTGGATATAAACCAGAATCTGCGATTCCTGATGAAGAAAATATTGGCTCTATCAACAGAGTTGTATATAATGATGGAATAGGTAAAGTAGTACGTCGCAGTGCACGGAACCATACCAATAATAATCATAGTGGTAAGTCGTCATTGTTGTTGTTGTTGTTGATTTAATGATTACATTGTATCAATTATATGATTTGTAATTAATAATTTTATAACATAATAGAAACACCTTTAATTCAAAGTCAAATAGTCACTCCAAGGCCTATAATTGACAGTGTTGCTGATAATCACCAAGACGAAGCGAATCTTATTGACGTGGATATGGACATCGATCATGACTCTCCAAGAACAGAAATCGAAGAAATTGACCATAACTACTCTCCAACGATGTTGTCAGATAAATCAACCGATAATGTTGCTACAGCCCTCACTTCTGCCCAAAGCTTTAATTACAACAGCACAATCCACCGAATTCCAAACAATGTTACTGGTTCGCATTCATCTATCCTTTTGAGTCACATGGGTTTGATGAGCCTAAAACAAGTCAACGAAGATCTGAAATGTTCTAGCGCCAAAAACGTTCACCGTCGTGTTCCTGATACAAATCAAAGGGGTCTGGATCCTATAGTTTCACATGGTACCATTTCTGAGAGTGCGTGCAATATAATTAGTAATGCAGGATATCATGGTTGGTCTGGTAGTCGAATCCCATTTCGACCATTGATAAGAATTCTTAATGGAGTTCAAATAATGGTAAAAAAAACTCATGCTAGCGATAAATCTAACTCTTCTAAAAATGTTATGTCAAGTACTGGTGCTGTTACTAGTGATGTCACCGCTGCTGCCGCCGATGTCAATGATCAAGAAACCAAATTGACAAGAAAATGGTGTAGGATATGTGATGACATGTTCGAATCAAGTAAAAATACAATGAGATGTTTAAGATGTACTCGACATTTAAAATTATTCACACTTGATTGGCCATGTCGTAGATTGAAAAGAACAAGAAAGGATGACAATCAAAAAACAACAACCAAAGCTGACAGTTCGGAAGGTTCGGCATCACGTCCTGTCAAAAGATTTAAAGCTGATATAACAATGGATCATCAACAAATATCGGGCACAGATAGAACTGACTGGTCACCATACCCGATAGAAAATATCGATGTTAAAATTATCAAGTACAAACGTGCAAATGGTCAAGTCAGTCATGGTAAGTCTTATAATATAATAAATAATTTAATCGATTTGATCCGATAAAATCCATTTATTATTCATGATTATTAACAATATATATTCTTGTTTCTTGTTAAATCAAATTAGCTTATGAGTATTGCTACAATGAAAATTTTGTAAGATGGGATAAGGACAGTGGTTTTGTCCATCTTAACCCTTTGAAAAGATCCTTTAAAAATTCATTGAGAAATTTGGAAAAGTTGAAGTGTTGGGATCAAACATGGAATTCAAGAAGACACATAATCATTGGTGGAAATATCAAATATCAAGGTACCTGGTTACCTTATGACCTTACAAAAAAGTTGTCAATTGAAATGATTGGCGAAAACGAAGCCTTTTTAATACCGTTATTTGGACCCAACTATGGACAAGAAAATTAAAAACACATTCAAGCTTGATTTCTCCAAAAAAAAAACCATCGCCAGCGGGAACACCTTAACCATTATCATTATTAGATGGAAACTTTATTTAGCAGCAACAATATTGTAAAAAATTATCCAAAGGTCCATCAATTTAATTAAATAAATGGGCTATTTTTTGTACATATAATTATTTTAAAATCATTTAATTTTAATATATAATTTATATCTATGTATATACACATTTAATATTTATTTATAGAATTTTAGATTCAAAAATTAAAAATAAAATATATATATTATTTGTTTTTTATTGCTACAATTGATTATTAAAAATTCAATTGTATATTTAATTTTTCATTAAGTTGGTTGTTATTAGAATTAGAATTAACCAAACATATTAAATAAATTAATTTAAATTACATTCAAATTTAAAGTTTATAAGATTTTTATGGTCATTAGGCTCAATAATACCAAATTATTAAATAATAACGACAATAAATAATCAAGAATTAAGAATTAGAATTAACCAAAAATGACAATAAATCAACTTTAGTTACAACATGTTTAGGAATTAACACACCATCTTCTCCTCGCTCAGTCACTACAGCAGAACTATTTGTTTCAAAAAATTTAGTTAACTTTTCTAACGGTGTATCGGATGTAATTTCTTCGAAATTTTTATTCCTAATAAATTTAAACATAATTTTTTCAACTGGTGATTCAGATGTTGCCATTCCCTTGGATAGTCTTGATAATAAATTACCAAGAGTAATAAGTCCAACTAGTATATTATTTTGGGACGCGGTAACAGGTAGTTGATCAAATCCATTTTTTTGTAGTATCTCAATAGCTTCTTTACATGACGATTTTGAATCTATAGTTATAGCCAGTTTCAACTTGAGATCTTTAATAGTTGCACCTCCCCATTTTTGAACCTTGATCTCCTCTTCTTTTTTGGTTACTTCATCGACAAATCCATGTGATTTCATCCAATCGTCATTCAAAAATTTTGACATATAGTTACGCACACTATCTGCTAAAAGCACTACACATCGCTGTCCCTTTTTCATTGACTTGGCTACTTTGATAGCTGCACACATTGCTGATCCAGATGAACCGCCACAAAGAAGGCCTTCCTCTCGAATCAATCTACGTGACATTATAAACGAATCTTTATCATTTGATTTGACCCATTCGTCAATTAAACTTCTATCAAGTGCTTCAGGAACAAAATCATATCCTATACCTTCAACCTATATATATATATAATTAAATGTAAAATTATTTTTCCTATTATTAAAGATATACATATCTTTAAAAAATTTATTATTTTACCAAATATGATTCGACTTCAGTTGAATCATCAGTTTCAGCAAGTAAAGATCCTTGAGGATCCACACCAATTATTTTAGTACCAGCACTTTTTTCTTTTAATTTTCTAGCAATTCCTGTTAAAGTTCCACCAGTGCCCGCACCAGCAACAAAGACATCAATTTTCCCATCACAAGATTTTAAAATTTCTTCGGCTGTGTGATCATAATGAGCCATTGGATTATATGGATTTTTATATTGATCCAATATAACAGAATTTGGAATTTCTTTGTTGAGCCTATTTGCCACTCCTATATGTGATTCAGGCGAATCCCAAGCTGCTTCAGTTGGAGTACGAACAATTTCTGCTCCAAGAGCTTTAAGTACATCAACCTAAATTTTAAAATTTATAATAGTATATTAAAACTTAACAAATAAAATTCTTTTTTTCTCTTAATATCCACTACCTTTTCTTGACTCATTTTTTCTGGCAAAGTGATGACAGTACGGTAGCCTTTTATAGCAGCAGTCAAAGCGAGTCCAATTCCAGTGTTACCAGAAGTTGGTTCAATAATTGTATAACCAGGCTTTAATATTCCTTCCTTCTCGGCCTCTTCAATCATGCGTTTGCCAATTCTATCTTTAACTGATCCCCCGGCATTGAAGAATTCACATTTTGCCACTATTGTTTATTTACAGAGAAGATTTTTAAATATAAATATAAATAAAAATAAAATAAATATGATATATTTACATATTTCACATTCGATTCCCTCCGCTTTTGTAATATTATTAATTCTAACAAGTGGAGTATTCCCAATATGATCAAGAATTGTATCAAGAATTAAAGGTTCTGGTACACTATATATGTTATATCAGGTTGTTATCATATAAAAAAGCCATTATAATGATATATATAGATAGTAAAACAAAACTTTACTGACTGTTCTTCATAATTGTGTGGACAAGGTAAAGTAGTTTTAGGAGTCCAGGTGCATTTACTCATGATGATTATTTTTATTACTAATAAATAATTTTTATTTTATTACTGGTAAATGTTTTTGGTAAATGTTTTATTTTTATTACTAATATTATTATTACTAGTAAATGATCGATATTTTTACTTTGTGCATGCATTATTTATTTATAATTTGTTCAAGTTGGGAAATTATTACAGGGCCGGGAAAACTATTGAATGTCACCCGCCAACACTATTACCGTCACTATGATTTGAAAGAGGAAAGGTGACCGCGACACTATAATTCGTATTAATACTAATATAGAATTAAATTTAAATTCAAATAAGGAAAAAAATCACGCCATGGGAATTACTAACTACAGTTGAACCTTGTCATAACGAATTTTGTCATAACGAATTTTTGTTACAACGAATTTTGAAAAGAATTTTTTTTTTCAATAATAAAAAACTTTTGTTACATCGAATTTATTAATAGAATCTTGTTACAACGAACAACGAATTTTTGGTAAAATTTTTTGATATAGCTACTAATCGCGTTACAACGAATTCACGTGATAAATGACCAATAAAAATGCGTTAAAAATCGTATGATTAAAAGAATCATACAATCTATCGTTGTGATAAAAAACATTGTCAATAACTCGAAAGATTGCATGATTACTTTCATGTTTTATAATTGTAATAAAATAATATGATTTAAAAATTGTAATAAAAATATATGATTATTTTCCATGATTTAGAAATTATAATAAAACATTATTCCTGCAGTTTAAAAATTGTGATTTAAATATTTTTATGAAATTCTAAAAGGTGCAAATACAAGTCTTGTTGTTTGGGTGGTTATGTATCAAAAAAAAAAACAAAGTCACAGTCATTGTCATCTAAAAAGTGAAACTTTATTACAGCTGAACAAAAAAGCGAAATTTGCTTATTAAAAAGAAATAATCTCAACCAAAAAAATTTTTTTTTTTTGTAATAAAGAAAAAATTTTTTTGTCATACCAATATGTTAACAATTTTTGTCGATCCTGATCATCTCAACGAACTTTTGTTACAACGAATTTAGGTGGTCAGTCCCACACATTCGTTATGACAAGGTTAGACTGTATATCTAATAGCATATTAACATTACTACTACTTGCCTTGTTCGTTTTATTCGTTTTATTTACTTTATTTGCTTCGTTTTATTCGCTTTATTCGCTTTATTTGCTTTATTCGAATTATTTTTTACTCAATTATTTGCTCAAATTATTCAAATTATTTTTTACTCGAATTATTTGTTTTATTCGTTTTACTTGAATTCTTTTTCCCTAACTACTACAAAAGATTATGATATTATTTTAGTACAAAGAGCTTTAGAAATAAATATTTAACCAATAACTTAATTACAATATAAAAGAGTTATTGATTTATTAAATTAAGCCAATAATTAACTAAAAAAATAGGATTAATTTTAAAAGAATATCTGATAAATATTGGTGCTTTCAATATTTACTAATGTCATAACTGCCCCTCTTATCAATCAATTATCATCGATGTATCTGTAATTTCATAGTTAGTTTTTTGTTGTTGCCATAATTAATTTTAATAGTTGCCAAAATTATCTCCAACTATTTGAACTCTTTAGTCAAATGTATATTAATATATAGTTATTTTATGTTCATTCATATAAAGAATATTAAGAATCCATAATTATTGCCATAATTACTTTTCTTCCAAAGTGGCAAAACTTTTGACTTTAGTCATTGACATAATGAAAGTACTGACTGAAGGTAGTTTCTCACCAAGGGCCATTATTATGTCTCCTTGGCTATTGTATTTATAATCTGGGATCATGTCAAATTTTCCCTTTTTGATAGAAAAGAAGAATTTTTGTAATTAATAAGGATACATACTGGTAAAGTCATATTGACCTCCATAACCTTTCCATTCATTTTTGGCCAATATCAATCCACCTCTCATTATGTCTGAAATCCATTTAGCCTCTTGAGGATCTAAGGGTTCATTTGCTGATACACTAAGACTAGATTGCTCAAATGCCATAAAGCCATACCCTATAAAAAATAACATATGGTTCATGTACTGTTTCCTGTACATTTCCCATATATTTTCAGTCAATAATTTTTTATAGGAGCATGACTTTTTCATTACCACCACACATACTTATACCCATTGGAATGCCAAACATTTTTGACTTTTCAAGTAATGCATCCCTTTCTTCATTAAATCTAGTATATGTTCTGTATGAGTTTCAAAAGTCTTACAGTAGGCAATGGTAAAATCCATCAAGTGATACAAGTGGTGTTACAAATTTTACCAATAAATTTCAAGAAAATAATTGTGATACAAGCAGACTAAGAGTTTTAGCCAATAGAATTTAAAGAAAATTAATATGATACAAATGGTCTTTTCAAATTTAGCATGAAATACTTGATATGGAATCAGTATGAAATTTGTAACTATAACATACTGAAAAGGTACATTTTAATTCCGCATATAATAATAAGATACGGAATAGGTATGGAATTTGTAGCATACTAATACTGAAAAGCCATATATAAGGTATGAAATTTGTGACATATTAATACTAATACTAATACTGGAAAGGTTCTAATATGTTTTGATTCTGTGTTGCAAGTGTGCAATCTGAGTTTCCTATTTAATAGGTTATTTTATGTTCAACACACAACCTACCTGTTGACTTACAGTCAAAGTTATTTTTATATGACATGCTGACTTATGGTCAAAGTTACTTTATCCTTTTGGATAAAGGGTCCCTAGGTTCTATTTTACTAACTATATCCCAAAGGCATCCCCTTGAGATGTATCTGAATAATTAAAAGGGCTCCCAACTAATAATTAAAGGTTGGCCAGACCATTAACCATTAGAAGGGCTGGGGGGTCAATCACACTGGGTTTATTAGTTACTTACAGTCAAAGACTATTTTATGTAAGGTTATATATTTATTAAGAGTTATTATTATGTTGTTGTTATCAAGGTTGTTATCAACAATATTAACAATTGATTAATTAATGATGATTATTAACTTGGTCTAAAGCCAAGTGTATTTATACCTCTTGGGGCAGTACAAATAATGTGATATGTGCTACTCTACTCTCCAATAATATGCTTATCAACTAATTACTAATTCTAAATAAATATTTACATCAGATGAGTAGGTTAATAAATATAAATATAGAAATATGAATAGGAATAATTCATTACAATGATATAGAAGGATGGTCATTGGTCGTAATATTTAGTGCATCACATGACCTCCGTTCTAATTGGTCAATATTAACCGGGTAATTGATAGGTCCAAGATTTACTATCTCTCAGTGTAAAATACTGAACTATTATTATAAAGCATGTGGTATTCATTAATAAATATTAATATTGGCAGATTACTTGTAATTTTTTTTTTAAAAATCAATATTATTATATAAATATTAATAACATTTTTTTCTTTTATATATATTAATATGTAGTACAGTTAGATAATTCTATAGAGAGCTTTCTAGGGATCAGTAAAAGTGGAGAACAACTATTCTCAACTTTCCTCAAAATAGATAAAGAAATACATGGTAATGGTGTAATTATAATACACAGTGAATCTCAATTTAATGGATAGTTTGGGCAATTAGGGAAAATGTTCCAAAAATCCGTTAAACCAAGATATCCACTATATCAAGAAGGTTTTTATTAAGGTTTATTATAAACCGTTCTTTGAACTTTATCTGTAAAACCGAGATTTTTAATTAGTATCTGCTAAATCGAGATTCACTGTGTACAACATATTACTAATAGAAAGATTTGTCTTCAATTGAAAGAACCACCTGTATGTTAGATAGATTAAATGGCTTATCACATTATGCACTGTATTAAGATTATTTTTCATATTTTGATCTTACTCTTTATTACTATAATCGGATGATAACTTGGAGTTGGTGAATAAATATGTGGTGGAGATTGTATTTTATATTTAATCATTTATTAAATCATTTTTACACAATTTCATTACTTATTGCATACTGATATTGTTGTTATTATTATATTCTTAGATGATTTAATTTGAACAAAAATCAAATAAAAATATTGGAGTTGGTGGATAAATATGTGACAAAGCTCATATTTTTTATATTTAAAATCGTTTTTTCATGATGTTAATTGCATACTGATGTTGTTGTTGTTATTATTATTCTTAAATTCTTAAGATGATTTAATTTAGTCAAAAATTGATACTTGGAGTTATAGCAAGATTATATTTGATTGTTTCTTTATTACATACTATTGTGTTATATTTTTAGATAATCCAATACATCCAAACATTAAGCTTCGATTAAAGAGTTGACAGATAAATATGAGACAAAGACTACAATATTATGTTTGATTATTAATTGTTTTACACATTCATACTATACATAAAGTCGAAATAATCGAAATTATGTCATATCACATGAGAACCAGTGATCCAACTTTAATGAACATGGCTTATTAGAATAGTCTCATAAAGGTTGATTCAAATAATGGTATTTTAATATTCATAGATAATACAGTCAGGATTATTACCAAATTTGGAAATCGAATCTAGAAAAATTGGAACTCCTTTGTCGATCAATTCATATGTGTGGCGAACGAGTTAACGTGATATTTTGCTGCCTTTTGAAAATCTTTTTTTTTTTTTAATTATAATAATAATAATCAAAATAAACAGTATTGAACTTGCTTTTTCATAATCTACTAAAAATCTACAAAAACCTATTAATTTGTTCAAAGTAAGCCTTTACATAAAT